CCAAACTTCATGATTTGCCCTCCCTTACGTTATACCACCTACTAGGACGCCTTAAAAAAAATCCTACTTTTTTTTTTTATGCTTGTAAGATAAATTTTATCCTGACGCCCGACGTGAGCGCACTCTGTGAACTCCACACACCCTCCTCAGCTACATTCTTCCCTATTTCTACAGGCTATTTTCGGTCATCTCGCTTTGCCGCTAACCAAGTCTCACCGACGGCCACGTAAAAAGGGTCCACGCAGTTTTCAGCTGTTGTTCAATCTTGTTACTCTCGACCTTATTTGCAGTTTGTAAAACCCCTCTTCTTTCACTGTTCCCCTTATTTATGCCGCCGCTTTTTCAAAGTCAGTACGCTGAGAATTGTTAAACGCCAAATTCTATTTCAGCAGAAACCTGAAGCGTTATTTTCTAAAACGCAAATAAGTTGTTAAACGATTTCACCCTCCCGTGGGGTCCGAGGGTCGTCCTCCTTTGACACCCACCCTTCCTTACCTACTGCCCCTCAGCAGCTCCGGTTCAGCCAAAACAGAACTCGGGCTTTATGTGGTCACCGGCGCCGTGGACGCGTCAGAGCCCCTTGAACCCAGCTCAGCGGCGGGGGGGAAGCCGCACGCCGACAACGGGCTCACGACTGCACGTGTAAAACGTCGCGTCAACCCGACGCGCTCCGAGCTGTCCCACGAACACACAGACAGAGCCCCTGACTGCAGGAGCACCAGCCGCAGCCGGGGACTGAGGAAGGGCTGCAGCAGGCTTAACTAAAGTTGGGTGTTTTTTTTTTTAATACAACGGTCCTCTCCCACTTGCCGGACAGCACCCCCAGCCGCAGAGGGGCCATCGCCCCTCTCCTGAAGAAAAGGCCGCTAATTACAGTTTTACAGTAACTGTTACGTAAACCTCCCGCCCCACCCGAAGAAACTCGGCGAATCCACTCGCGTAACTTCAAGTAACTCTCCCGCTGGCCAGCCCGGACACCCCCGGACACCCCCCGCGGCTTGCACCCCGGCGGCAGGCCCACCGTTA